ATCCTCTGAGAAGTCCAAAGGGGCTCTTTCCTACATAATTCGTAACACAATTTGACAAAATGGGCCCTGTTTGCTTTACTGTGCACACTCTTCACCCTTTGACAGCTTCATGTACCAGCTCTGCAGTGTCCTGCGTTACAAAAATTAAAAAGGTCTCTCAGCAGGAATATTGGTCACTTTGTACGAATGCTCTCGAAATCTTTACCCCCTCTCGTATTTTTATTTTCATTCTGCCGATGAGAAAACTAGATCTCAAGAGAGGTTGAAAGGTTAGCTTAAGGCTCACCTTTGTCCATGATCCAGTTTAGGGGGAGAGGGGATTTGAATTAAAAAAAAAAAAAGTGCGTACACACCTCCTACCAATTTAGTTAACGAGGCTATGCATTTTAAGTCTTCCTTCTACTTACAGGGCTGCTGGGATGAGGATTTAGTAACGCAAATAAAAATATATTATGATCAAACTAAAAACCAAACTCATTGCCTGTAAGTCTATTCTGATTCACAGCGACCCCGCAGGGCCTAGTTGACTTGACTCCCTGGGTTTCTAAGGCTGCAAATCTTTATGGAAGGGGAAAGCCTCCTCTGTTTCCCGCAGACCCATGAGGTGGTTTTGAACTGCTGACCTTGAAGTTCGCAGCCCAAAGCGTGATTGTCTTCTAAGTGCGACGTACATTAATTTAGTTTATAAACCCTAGTAAGGGTGGGTGGTGGCTTGAGGGGACAAAGGAGAGCAGATTATGCGGCCACAGCCGCCCCACAGTGAGACTAGAGTCTGACCAGATTTTAACATTGGTAAGGCAGGACACCATTGACCGGGGGTGGGGTGGGGTAGGGTGTTCTTGATTAAAAATTTGGTCTGTATCATTTTGTCGCCACTATAAAATATAAATAATACGAGTACTGTCTGCTAAATTCAAGAAAATGTATGTATTTATGAAATAAATAAATTACTGACCTAAATTATCTGAACAGCTGATTTGTTGACATCACTTGTTTAACTAGCACTAGCACGCAGTACGATGTGCATCGTCTGAGAGACAGTTACAAAATGTTTTCGTCGATGCCAATGCCAAAAAATGCCATTGTTCATTAAGTCCAAACAATGGTGGTCAAATTCTAAGAACTGATCAACAATGCGAACTTTGATAAGCAGTTCTCGATAATCAGTTCTCAACAATCATTTGTTATTATTAAAGTTTAACATTATACAATTAACAAAAATAATATAAAACTCCTATCTTGGCGAAATAGCCACATGGCAGCCCCAAACCGTATATTCCCTTCCCGTTCTCCCGCCGTTCCCTAGCTTGTCGTGCATCTTTCCAAAAATCGGGACTTTTTTAAAACGCCGCGGGACGCGGGACAAATTGTTAAAAATCGGGACTGTCCCACCAAAAGCGGGACTCTGGTCACCTTAGGCTAGACCAGCCCGGCATCGGGAGGGCTTGT